TCCTTTTAACATTGAATATTATCCCATGTTATTGTTATTTCTGTATATTCTCTCTATTTTCTCATCTACTGTCAGCTTAATGTCTTCTATGTTATTTTTGCTATTCTGTAAAGGTTTGAATATGAAGAAATCAAAACAACAAAAATGTGGATACCTGTCTAAATAATCTATTAAATAATAACTATATTATCAGTTGAGAACACATTGAAATTCATAAAATACGTTATTTGAAATGTGATCAAAACAAAGATATCGTAATTTGTGGATTAATGAGAATTATTCCTTCTTAAGAGATTTTTGGAAGTTGATACAGCCCTCTCATATTTCATTGGTCAGTAAGTGATCACATGTTTAGACGGATGGCAGGAAGTTCATCTCATCTAGGATCTAAGATACGGAAAGTAGCAATTTTTTAAATATAATTCTCCACTTGTACGACAGAGGAAATTGAAGGGAAAGGATTTGCTTCTTTTTTTTTATTTTTATTTTTGGCATGTTGTTTTGGATTTATGCTACTTGGCACCAAGTCAGTGTTATAAAAATCTGGCAGCACTTGAATCAGAGCATAGCATGTATTTATGTTTGATCTTGGCCTGGTCTTTTGAGATAATGTCAACAAAGCTTTGTAGCTATTTGTTAAGTTGGTCGACTCCTCTTGTTTCCAGCTTTGATGAACCCTGCTGTTTCAGTCTGGGTTGACTGAGTTTGACCCCTACATTCAGAGGTTGTTGGTAATTGGCCTCCGCAAACAGAAACCAGAAATTATTGGTTCAGAATCAGTCGCTGAGGAGTTTAGCAAATTTCATAATTATGCTTTTAGATTTTTGTGACATTGATTTGTTTTTTGTTTTTTTATTTTGATATTATTAATGTTTCTATATGATGTTGGCGGTAATGCACAGGGGGTTTTTATTGATTGAGGAAGAGATCTAACTCTTTCTATGATGTGGAATTTTGTTGCTTCCAGAGGTAAGAATATTACTCATGCTAACAGATAATAATTTAAATCTTGTAAATCATATTTTATTATTATTATTAATATGAAATTTATTTTTAAGTCCATGTTACTGCTACATTTTATCATAGCACTCTGGTCAATATATTTTTCAAATGCCACAAAATAGCTATGGTAATGGTGAAATTAGCCATTTCCATACAGGAAACATTCAACATTCATTGATTGAACAGTTTGACCCTGTATCACATTTGGGAGTGATGTGGGCGTGCTGAAAAATAAACATTGATTGAACAGTTAGTGTTAATGTAAGTTTTAAAATTTATAAAATCTTTTTTTCAGGAAATTATAGTTGTCAAGTCCACTGTTATTATTAATATTGAATTAAATTTCCAACCAAGACTTTTGTTTAAGTTAGTGTGGAAAGCTAACATATTGGTAATATCATTATTTTTCCTTTTAGTTACATGTGCTGCAAATGGAAATGATAAAGTAGTATAAAAATGATGGGTAACACTAAGTAGAATTGACTTAGTGGATAACAACAAAATAAGAGCATTCGAGAAAAAAAAAAAAACAACTATAACTATCCCAGAGTAGTCAAAAGTAACTCAGGGTGAGAGATGACTTTCCAGAAACACATATGATGCTTTGTCATTTGATTAGATTTGGGAAAATGAGTTGAGCCGAGAATATTTCAGTCGTCTGTTAATTCGCCCTGACAGGAAGAAATAAAATAAAAAAATGAGAAAAGAATATCTTAGAAGTATAAGTAAAATACTTGAAACAAAGCTGTATTTACATTATTCAGACTATTGTCCTCATCTTTGTTGCCATATTTATCACATTTCGGCCATTGTATGCTCCGGCCTTCTTCAGTTGGTTGGAATGTCCTCAAGGACACATGGCACAGTGGATAAAGGTGTTAGCTAGATCCAGTGACAGGACCCAAAGAGTGTGAGTTCAATACCTATTTAAGGCAGTGAAGAATGTGGAGAGAGAGGAATTAACAGGAGATAACTGGTAACTGATATACATTAGACATGGCACGTGGAACTAGAACAGTCTAACCCCAGCGAGTGAAATAAAGGGTTCAGTTTGACATTCCAACCACCTGAAGAAGGCTGGAGCATACAACAGCTAAAATGTTGTGATAAATATGACAACAAAGATGTGGACAATAGTCTGAATAATGTAAATACTGTATATAATACCTCATCTCAGAAATCTAGACAGATATTGAAACAAAGCTGTCTGTTTGAACTCTATACACCTAAACTCTGAAATTTTATTTACTATTTTTTCCTTCCTCAATAGGAAGTAGATAGGTTTGCCTCTCACCTGGTTCACACTTCTACCTGGTCTTTTGAACAGGAGTAGTGGTTTATCCCTTGTTTCTTGTTTAAGATTGAGTTTTCAGTTCCTTCTAAAGAATTTCTCATTTTCTTTCACTCCCAGGAGCCCCTTTGCATTTTAGTGGCCTTATCCCCTTGTTTGGGGTGAATTGAGTAAAAAAAAAAAAAAAACCTAATAAAATGAATTAACTCCAGGGCAGCATATATGGTAAGAAACTCAGGTCTATTCTCTGGCTGGATTAAAGAGGAATTCTATGGTAATGAAATAAGGTCATCCCATCTTCCCTCTCAATTGTAACCATCCACTATAATAAAATAAATCTTTACAGCATTAAAGCTGAATTAACTGAATAAAGCTTCATAAACTTCTACTTAGAGTTGTTGCTGTATTACAAACTCAAACTTGTGGAACGAGGAAACTCCACAAAATTTTGATATGCCAAAGATGACACAGATAATATGTAAAATGAAAGAAAAGCACTCATCATCATCAAAGAGCAATTGGTCAAGATAGAACTAGATACAGACAATGCAATGAGAATATAAAAAATACTGAAATATACAAGAAAATAAAAAACAGGGGAGGGGAGGAGAACGCATGAAAAGAAAAGAAATAAAAAAAGTAGTACAGTGAATTTGAGTGGAAGATGGGGAATTTCATGGACAAGGAAAATCACAGACATGGCAATGGAGAGAAAATCTTAAAAGCAATATAGAATTCCTCATTATGCTATTCCAGAATTAGTGCTTAAAAGCAGAATAACAAACACACAAAACAAACAATGCCACCTCTACTGCAAAAGAGAGCAAACTACATAATCAGTGAAAGCAGCAAGATGGCCTAAAAACAAAAACAAAAAACAAAAGAGGGTATGACAGGGTTGCAACAGTCATACAATGGGAACTGTGAAAATAATTTGAATTTGGCTATGTAGACAAATGGTTCTTAATCTTTTATTTATCCATGGAACACTTTTACTCTTAATTTTTTTGGGGGACCCTAATAACCATTCAATGAAAAAAGAGCTTATTTTATGTTTTACTAATAGGTAAGTTTAGGAATTGTATTATAGAAATAATAAATGTATATGCTTTATTTTGAATTAAAACCAATGAAAATAAACTTGTATTTAACAACTAAATTCTATGGATCATTTATGTACACTAGTACTTATATAAGCCCTCAGAATGAATGGTTTTGTTGTAAATTGCCCCTGCTGCTGAAGAGGTTAATACTGTTAATATTTTCTTTATATATAATCCTTATATAATTTATATATTAAATTAATTTTATTATTAATATATATTTTTAATATTTTATATTAATTAATACAGGTTGTGATGGATAAATTATTGTTTAAATAACACAAAAAATGATAATAACATTGACATCTTATTTTAACAGATATATTTACCAAAATTACACAAAAAATATCTTTAAATACTAAAAAGTAAATTTATTCAATAAAAATACCATTGACCTCCAGACAGCATTGGAATCTCCTGTGACTCTTCTGGATGGCCTCCTCATTTAAGTTGGTGAATGCTGCCATAATCCTTGCCTTCAGTTCATCTTTGGTGTTATGAGAAGTTTTGTTGGTCTCTCGCTCAACTGCACTCTATGCATAATAGTCAAGGGGGTTGCAAGTCAAGGGAGTTAGGTGGCCAGATGTAAGTGGTAATGTGGTCACAGAAATTGTCTGACAGCCACGACTGGGTTCTCTTGCTTGTGTGGCATGGTGCAGTGTCCTGTTGCCAGACATAGGGCCTTTCAGCAGCCACCCTCTTGACCAAGAGCAGCACTACCTCCAAAGGCATGATGTAGGCCTCGGTGTTGAGTCTGAGATCCTCACCAACAAATTTGGGAGTTCTTTTCTTATCAGAGCAATCAGAATGAGTTTTCCAAGCTGCTGTACGTTCATAATCACCATTAAACTGAAATGATTAGAAAAAGAAAGAGTATATCAACTCATAGTATTGTTTTGATTGACTGATTTGTTTTCTATGGCTTACCAACCTTTTGCAGGTTATTTAAAGCCAGAAAATATTTTAGATTGTAAGAATACTTTTGAGATAATAATGATCTACTGATATACAAGTCCTACTAATTAACCTATAAGTATGATTTCCAATTCCAAACCATTATCCATTATACCACCTGCACATCAAAGTTTATAACACCTGATATTCACAAGTGGCTACTTATCTAGTCTTGACATTGCTTAACTTTGGTGATCACATGAGAACTGGTGTTTCAATGTGATATGGCCATAAGATTCATAGTCTTGTGATAAAAAAAGCAACTATAATAAGATAGAATAAAACTAGCAATAAAAATAATAGTACAAATATTGTATCTAAAAAATTACTTAGAATTAAGATCCAAATTTGTTTTCTAAAAATAGACAAAAATTAAATGGTTGGTTGGTTGTTTTTGTTTAGTGGCATATCAACCTCTATGGATTATTTAATGCTGAAATTTAAATATTTTTTGTACACAATTTTATTTTATTTTTAAGATAATAATAGTTTAGGGATACAAGTTTTACTAGTTAACCCATAGCTGGTGGGGAGAAGAGGTGGATTTCCCAAGAGTATTTGCACGTAAGTTAATATAATGAACCTGACTGGTACTGTTCTCCGATTAACAATTCTGAGTCACTATCCATTACCCCACCCACACATCCAAGCTTACAGCACCTGATATTCCCAGGTGGTCACCCATCTAGGTACTGACCAGGTTTGATATTGCTTAACTTCAGTGATCATATGGAAACCGGTTTTTCAACGTGATGTGGCTGTAATATCCTCCCCGACCAAATTAAATCGACTCATGATATTAAAAAAATAAACAAATGAAAGAAACAGTGAAACTCTGTTTGATCAGATGCTGTCAAAATAGTACAGAACATCTGTTGCAGAAGAAAGGTAGTAATAGTGAGAGCCTAATACACTTTTAATATGCTATTATTCTGTCAAATGTTGTGACATGCATGTAATGAGAGATTTTACCAATGTTTCTGGCAATGTGTTAGAGTGCAGGGGGAATTATTTTGATTGATTTATTATTTATGACTTATCAACCCATTGTGGGTTATTTAAAGCTGAAACATATTTCAGATTGTAGGAAGTTGCTTATAGTACCCAAGTGGAATTCAAATGCAAGGGATGAGGCATTTTACCAAGGTTTTTAGCAATGTGTCAAACTGCAGAGATAAATGAATTCAAAATTTTCCCAATAGTGTAAAATAAGTATGAGTAACTAGCAGCCCGTGCTTGATTCAAAAATCGTACGACTCATACAGCAATCACTATCTCTTGACTTAAAATATTTTTGCCCTTCCTTGCCTTTAAAGGAGTGCCCTTTGCCGTGCTGATGTTGCTACATGCCTTACTTCTTGCCTATCTCACACTGTGAATTTTTTCTAAGCTCTCTACTAAACATTAAATCTGTTACGAGAAAAGAACTAAACAAAATGAACACAAAACGATCAGCTTTAAAAAAGGACCCGTAACTGGAAAAACCGAATGAAAAAAGAATGTTAACAACAAATACTTTTTCACACCCAACCCAGTTCTGCGGAATCAGAATCAACGTTGAGTTTAAGCAAGCGAATGAGCCAATTGGAGTAAAGTGCCATGCAGATTTAAATTTTTCCTACTTGTGACGAATACAGCTATCGATTTTTTTTGCATGTTAGCATGCTAGTTAACATTTGTGTCAGTCAGCTGTTGGCTCTCACGCTGGCCAATAGAATCTTCCTGCCTATTCGTGGCAGCCAGCTATAGGCTTTCACTCTGGCCAGTAGAAAATGGCCGCGAACTACATGAAAACTGCCGTAGAAGCATGAAAAACTCGATTATTTCCACTATCGATGGGAGTTGGGAAATGTAAAGTCAGTCTTGGCCTTTCCACTAACTTGGAGCATGTGCATGTAAATTTTGGTGCAAATCCGTCAAAAATTGCGGCCGTGCATTTGTTACACACACACACACACACACACACACACACACACACACACACACACACACACACACACATCCTGCCTTTTATAGATAGAGATTTCAACTGGAATTTAAATGCAAGTAACAAAGCATTTTACCAACATTTCTAGCAATGTGTCAAATTGCAAGAGGAAGTAGCTTCAAACCTTTTCTCAAAATTATGCATTTTCAGCTGGAGTTTAAATGCAATTGATAATATGATAAGATTTATGTAAATAAGTCAATGGAAGTGGATTCATGCCTTTTTAAAAAATATGAATTGCTGATTTCATTTAGTCCAGGTTGATTTATTTATTATTAAGATTAAATAATTCTAAGAATCTTTAGAAGCCTATAATATCTGCGCACATATATTTGTGTCTGTATGCATGAACATGTTTACTTGTGGTTTTGTACGTATACAAATTGACGTCAAAATTGATAAATAACCTAATGAAAAATAGTTCCTCAGCTCATCATTTGCCAGAAGCAAAAGAGCCCTATGAAACTGCCGACAGAAAAAAAAATTAGCCACCCCCATCACTGGATGAAAAAAAATAAAAAAATAAAATCAGTTTAAAAAAAGACAACACAGCTTGATTGCTTTTATGTTTTCCTTGTTTTCTTCTTCTTGCGAACTGAAATTCGCAATCTGAAATGCCTGCAATATTTGGAAAGGTCGCTGTGTGTTAATTATGACTAATAAATATATGAATTTGACTGGTGCCTTCTTGATTTACAGGTCACTACAGTGAAAGGTTGAAGGCCTTACCACTGCAGGAGACTAATTTCTACTTTTGCATTTTTTTTACTTGTTTCTCAGTCTTGTAGTCATTTTACTTTTATTTTATATACATTCTTGCCTATTTACTGCAAGAGAAATCCAAAGCCTGCATGGTGGTTGAGATAGTTGCATATTTCCCACTAGTTGTCAATTTGATCTATTTTTATATTACAAAACCCAAGAGCCACTCAAAGCAGATGGCTTACAGCCATATGACATTGAAACTGGTTCAGGTATGGTCACCAACATCAAGATTGGTCAGTACCTAGATGCTGTAAGTGTGGATGTAGGAGGGGTGCAATGGATAATGGCCCAGAATTGTTAATTGGAGAGCCGAGTTCCAATTCCAGCTAGGTTCATTATATTCACTGATGCACAAATGCCCTTGAAAAAGGTATGAATCTACCTCTTCTCCTCCGGCTATGGGTTAATTAGGAAGACGTGTATCACTAAACTATTATTATATACCATCAAATTCTTACAATCTAAAAATGTTTTTCAAAAGGTTGATAAGCCATAGAAAATGAATGAAACAATCAATGTAGAGCAATGATTTCCAAGCAGTGCAGCACACCTCATAGGTGCAACAGAAGAGGATAGCAGGTGAGGCAGAATGATTGAAAGACAATCAAAGATTTAGAAATAGTTTCTAAAAATTCATATGCCAAAAATAAATATGATTTCAAAAATATTATTTTGGATTACTTGTAATTGTATGCATGAGTCCCAGTATAAATAGTTATAAAAAATTATTGATAGATTTTATCATTGTGATATTTTTGCATTATATCAAGTATTAAGAATATAGTAACTAGTGATTGCAAATTGGTGGAGAGAGTTATCAATGATAATTTTCTGACTTCGAATCTGCGGTTATCTCCTTTTAACCCTCTCTCACTGTGTTTTATTTTTAAATGTACTTTTTATCACATAAAATTTGGTGAGGCGCGAGCAAATTTTCATTCCAAAAATGTAGCCAAGAGAAAAAAGTTTGAGAACCACTGAAACAGAGAGTTATAGAATAAAGGCTGTTTTCAAAGCATAAAAAGCGGAAGTAAGAAGTATATATTATAAGGATATGTAGTATAGATAACGGTTGATCAAAAACTTTAAGAGGTTAAAATTATAGTGATCGGGGAAGCATCCATTCAGGGTCTGTTCTACAGTTCTGGGGAAGAAGCTGTCAGAGTGAAACTTCTTCCTTAACAATGGAATACGAACTTCATTAGTGGAGTCTATCTTGAAAAATGTAACAGATGCATGTTTTGTTGTAGACCATTTGCAACCTTTGATTTTTGGTGTTTTTTTTTTTTTAGTGATGATTTGTTCCTGCAAGATAATGCAACTCTCATCGTGCACAGGTGACACGAAACAAGTTCCAGTAATTTCTGACTGACTTAGAAGTACTACATTAGTCCCTGCGTTTGCTAGATTTAAACTCCATTCAGCATGCATAGGACATGTTGCAGACCTCACTATATTCTTTGCATCCGTGGAATTATGGACATGCATAGAATATGCCTGGATATACCTATACAACGAATATAGCACCTTTCACATTCCATTTAACGTTGTGTATCCACTGTTATTCAGGTGAAAGAAAAAGCAACATTATATAGCAGTGTCCAAATTTGGTGCTTCAGCTTAACTATGTATAGTTTGTGGGGTTTATTTTTGTGTATGCATGAATGAGAATGAGTGTGTGGATAATGGCATAATGTTTTGGGGTTAACTTATCTTTCCTCTTTCCTAATTATTATACACCGCGCTTTACTGGTCACGTGACTCTTAACGACCAGTCATTAAAGCCTGGTCAGTAAAATAACAGGGTTTTGGGAAATGCCATGAAGAAACGGTGTTTTCCTGACATTTCAAACTTGTAAGTAAATACAGATTTTGTAACATCAAATAGCTTTCGATTTCAGGGTCGGAGAGAAGGCATGTAATACATCTGTACATTTTATTAGCATGTCGTCTTTCTAGAAAATAGAAAATTCATTTATGTTCTTCTGACGTCTCCCTAGCATAATGTCGTTGGGTTAACTTTTACTTCCTCTTCTCCAATTACTATACACCACTCTTTACTGCTTATGTGAACCTTAACGACCAGCCAATGAAGCCTTGTTAGTAAAATAACACGTTTGTGGGTAGACGCCACGAAGAAAAGATGTTTTCCTGACGTATGAGTAAAAACACAACCTTTCGCACATAACGTGCCGGACTTGCATATAAAGACAGCTTTTATAACATCAAATAGCTTTTCTTTTTAGGGTTGGAGAAAAGGCATGTAACGCATTTGTACATTTTGTTTGTCTGTTGTCTTTTTAGAAAATAGAAACTTCTTTAACGTTCTTCCTAGCCGGATTTATTTTTTTATTTTAAATGTTTGGGAAATATATGTTCCTGCGTATATTTAGTAAATTTAGACGCCTGCGTATATTTAGTAAATTCAGCAATGTTTATTTGATTCCCAAACAGAATCCAAAATTTACCTGTGATTATATATGTTTACTATGCATAATGCCCTTGGGAAAGGCATTTATCCACTTCTCTTCTGTTTTATCACGAGATGCCTTATAGAAATGTCTTGTTATTGCCATGTCCCAACAGTTGATAGAGATGAGAGGGCCAGTAAGCGCTTTGTCAAACCATTCTCTCATAGCTATATTACCTGCCCAGACTGAGCTGATAGGGTTTGAAAATACAAATAATAAGAAAATCAGTTCAGAATTTTATCGTTCTGGTCTTCCATATGTAGCTCAATTTGTTATTTGTACCTCAACTAGGCACCCCTGCTTCACATCGGTCTTCTAACGAGTCTTACAATAAGTCTTATTGATACCATATAATTGGCTAATATTTATTTGTGCCAGTTTGTTTATTGTAGGTGTGCAACTGTCTTGCTAACTTGTCTGGTATTACCTTTGTAACAAATAGGGTTTAATCTTTTTGGTTGGTGTTTCATTTATAGGGTACACTGCAAATGTGGCAGCTGGAAAGCAGTAGGATCCAAAATGGCGGCTATTTATCGTC